CTATCAGACAGCTACTCCCGGAACAGCTGGAGCATTTACAACGGGCAACAGGAACAGCACCAACAAAGCTAACCAAGAAAAATAAGTACAGTAAGTGAAAGGGAACAAACAATGCGGAGGAACGAAGTGGGCCAAACGGCAAGCATCTCAACAATTCATTATGTTGTCTTTCGATAGGAATGGCTACATACAGAAAAAATGAAAATAGTGTTTCAGTCGAAATAAACGATCGGAAAAACAAACTTAAAAGATCTACAACCCATGTGTTTCGCACTTTCGGAATGAGAACTGTAAAATAAACAATGATATCACCCTCTCACGTAAACAACACCTCAAAGGGTTGTACAATGGCTATCTAAGAACAAATATAAATCTCGTAACTCTTCCGGTTAATTAAAATGAACATTACGCTCAACACGTTCTATCCCGTATTAAACAGCAATAGTAGCCATGATCAGATCATTGGCAAACGTAAGATATGGGGAACTTCATGGTTGAGTTTTGGGTGATAAAAATATAGTATAAGTTCTCGAATCTAAATTTACGCAACTTTTTTTTTTTTTTCTGTGTGACGTTTTGTTCGGCCTTAATTACGCAGACATGCCCAGGCCTTTAGGGAATCAGGAAAGCTACAAAACGAAGAGCGACGAGGTCTGTCAGAAAATTAAGCGTGAATGATGTCTGCTTTCGAAATATCTGGGAGCTTAGCAACAGTGCACGCGATTCAATTTGTGTTACCTAAAGCTGCTCACCTATTTGCGCGTTCTTGGAAATACATATTTTGTACCGCATCTCTCGTGTAGTTTTATTCAATGTTAATTTCAGAGATGGACTGTCTTACAGAGCCTGTGGAATGAATTACTACGGAGAATGGTCAAGAGAACGTAGGATACAAATTCTGTAATTTCTTAGTACTAGTAAAGTTAACTCAATGTAAGTCATCACAAAACAAAACAAAAAAAAATAATATTGTAAGCATCTTCACGTTGCAGTTTCCGATCGTGATGAGCATAATAAAACATGTGGGCATTAACAGGACACGCACCGAGGTAGCAGAGATTGTTTTGAAACAACTAATTTACCCACACAGAGCGAAGCATGTATCAACGAGAGTGCACTCCTTACAGCAATATCGATGCTCCCTTACTCAAAGAAAGAAGCCTTTGAGGTCATTATGATAGCTAATATTGTAGGGAACTGAATTCTACACATTTGACGAAGCGGGGCGCCTCTGGTGCCACCCCGCAGAGCTTAATTGCCGCCTCGTTTTCTTTAAGTGTTCAAAGTTTTAGAAACGCAGAGTTAAGAATCCTGTACATCTTGTAAAATCTTATAAACTAAACTAATTACGGACAGCAAAACGCGCAGGATCGTGGCGCATAGAATGTGCACGATTGATTTATTAGGTGATAGGAAACGCAGAAAGCCGATGCATTTTGCCACGGCTTGATTGGAGACATCGGACCCTTACGCCGGCGTCGGTCAAACTTAAATCAAAAACTATAGTGTCCTTTTGAAAATGAAAACCGCGTTTGAGGTGGTGCTTTGAGGAATGGTCAAATGGAGGCGTACTTTCCGAGGGGAATTATGGAATGTCACATTAGAAATTTAGATTCAGATTCTTGAGTTTGAATTCTCGGGTGATGCAGGTGTAGTCATCTGCCTTTTGTGTAAATTGTCGCCCCTAAATCGAGACGAGGACAGCAAAGTGACATCTCAAAGGTAGAGGCGTAGCTTGTTGACTTTATTTTCGGACTTCTACAGTTCTAAATATTCGGCAAAATGATCGATCTTCGCTCTTGATTGTGTTAAGGCGAAACCTATTGCGGTAGTTGGCCTTGCCGACGCGTTAAGTTATCCTCGACCGTCTCAGGCAGCGCCATTCCCAACCGCAATGAATAGGAACTTTCTGAAAGCAAGGCAAGAACCCCTGAAACGCACGTTGTCTCCTTCGTTTATTGCGTAGCTGGTCATTGTACCAGACTTCATAGCCAATCACCCGCCGACCCAATGATTGTGAGAATATTCAATCGAGTTCAAAACTAAGAGGCTACTTAAATATAGCAACCACCGTTAATTGACCCAGCCTCTAGTAGATTTTTCGCTTTATCTTTAGTTATCGTAATGAAAAGTTGCTTTACAACAATATCTCCACTCCGAAACTCCACTTCTGAGTATATATCTCTAAGCTCGGCCGCCTGTTTAGTTATTCTCTTTTTACTAATTTTCATTTTGGTGTTTTGTATTATTTAATTATTAGTGCGTCTTGAGTGTAATTTGTATTGTTAGGTGTAGTGTTCTTGAGGGGTACACCAATAAACACACTGTGGTTGTTTTTCGGTCACTTGAAATAAACCTTACTGAATTTTCGGGTGTTTAAGTTTATGTATATACATTACTTCTTTTTTTTTTTGCGTGGTCTTTTTTTAACATTATTGCGACTTATATGTGCTTGAAAAATGAATAGGTTCATTAACTGCGAACTTTGCCGCCAGATTATATTTCTCATTCGAATGTTGGCGACACTATTGAAAATGGCTGCAGCTTGCGCATATAGCGATATCACAAATTTCCAATGCGAGCTTAGCAATGCGGTTTTGCCGCAACGACCCTGCAAATATACAAAATGTTTAATTTTAACTCCGTATATATATATATATATATATATAAATTTCTTCTTAGGGGTATATAAACATTCGCAAGCTGTACACTCGCTACCTTATGAAGAGCGGTCTCCGCTCCAAACGTCGTAATTAAACTTCGAATTAGTAACTCCGACAGTACGCACCTTTGACTTATTACCTTTCCCGGTTCATTGTTTTTATATTTACCTTACTTCACCTATATATATATATATATATATATATATATATATATATATATATATATATATATATATATACATATATATAGATATCATCATCATCATCATTTATTAAACCTTGAAGGCCATTGCTGGCATTACACAAGGTGGGAGTAACTGCTGAAGAAACGTTATATAAAGGAACAAACAAAAAAGTGGGTTACATGGTGGAAAACATTGTGATATAAAGCAGCAAAAACAGAAAAAAAAAACACTTAAAGCATTTTTAGGGAAAAACTGCTGATGAAACAGAACAATACCCAAATAAAACATTTCTATAAACGCGAGTTGACATTGCTATTAGTGCAATGCAGATGGATGGTCAGTTTTGATATGAATGTATTATAATCTGTCTCGGTCACGGTACTGTTAGGCAGACTATTCCAGTCCGTTATTGTGAATGGCAAGGTGGAGTTCAGAAACGAAACTGATGAGGCGAAAATTGGACGAACTTTACAGACGTTATCAATGCGAGGAAATATACGAGTGGCTGGGGATAATAGTGAAGTTCTGATGTCATGATTATGATAGTAAATCTTGTGAAAAAGAGACATGCGTGATTATTTCCTTCTGGATAAGAGCAGATCAAGGTTAGCGTTCATTCGTAAAGAAGTGATGCTTGTGTCTCGTGAGTAATCTGAAAAAATGAATCTGATTGGCGCGATTTTGAAGTGCCTCTATGTTTGTTATCAATGAATATTGCCAAGAGGACCAGATGGATGACGCGTATTCAAGTTGCGATCTTACGAGTGTAGTGTAGGCTAGTTGTTTAACTGGTGAAGGTGCTAGTTTCAGATTCCGTCGAAGATAGCCAAGAGAGCGGTTCGCATTAGACAGGACGTGTGTTATATGCGTGTTGCATGAGAGATCGTCAGATAAGTGAACACCCAGATGTTTGTAAGATGGACACTTGGTAATTACCTCTCTGCACATGGTGTAAGTGAAAGAGAGAGGACAATGGGGGGGGGGGGGGGGGGGGGCACGCGTGAAGGAAACGAGATTTGTTTTAGAAAAGTTAATTGTCATTTTCCACTGTTTACACCTGTCGGCTATTAGGTTAAGGTCAGCTTGTAGGGTTATGTTATCCCTACAAGGCTAGATATAGATATATATACATATATATACATAATTTTAACGGGGCTTATAGTTCTACGAGCGCCGTCCTCACCATGTACTTTCGGGCCTCGACGGAAAATGGATGAATGAGTAATCGACACAGTAAGTGAACTCATTGTGGTTAATTAACTTTTTAATTATTGATTTTAGCTGTCACCTTAAATTTGCAGTATAGGCGGCAATTACTATTAGAAATGAGACCCATAGAAATCATTCGCGAAAAGGTAATTGCCTTTTACATGTAAATCGATCAATTTTCGCATTTTTACGCCTCATTTAAGGAGTGCGCTGGAAAATAGCGTTGAAAGCCAAGCCCACCACAAAACTTGGAAGAGGAACTCAGTTGTTTCAATCCCGTCGTCATTTCTGTCGTGGGTGCGCCTCACAAGGACACGCTTCCGGAATAGTGAAGTCATGATTGAAATGTCTAAGTCACTCTTTGAAGCATCACCGAGCGCAGGGTATGCGATAATCTTCTAAAGTGCAATTTTTAAATCGGGAAAAAATTAATCATTAAAATCTTGACACCCTCTAACTTTTCGCAATTTTGTTTTTAGCAGGTTTGGTTTGTATCCGTTGTTTCCGACAATACAGCAATTTCAAAATTACCTCTAGAGGCAATCATTAAAAAAACTAATCAACAAATTCAAGTTAATTACACAACTTACCGGCACGTTTAACCCCTCTTCTAATGTCCAGCTAGCCTTTTGAATACATCGTAAAGACAAAACACGTCAAACCATCATCCCCTCAATTTAAAAAAAAGAAGATATATGTTCGTATTAAAATAAACACCCTCCATAAGTGCAACATTGCAAATATGCCAGGAGTGTGAAACCGTTTTCGTACAAACGGCCGTATTTAGCGCGTTGCGACATATGCAACGGCGCGACACACAAGCTGAAAAATCAGGTATTACGATTAAAAACATTATTCCTCAAGCTCTGTTTTCTCACTCAGTGAAACTCTTCTTGCGAAAATAAATAGCACTAAACGCTGTCTCGGCCTTTCTCTTTTTCAGAAGACCGTTATTCGCTGCTGGAGACGGGCGAACTTCTTGTTCACAAGACCACGTCTGAAGATGCGGACCGCAGCTACCGGTGTCGCACGCGTCATCGACTCACCGGACACCTGACGGCAAGCTCTGTTGCGGGGAGGGTAACGGTCACTGGTGAGCATTTATAGAGTGCAACTCTTAGGCGCCCGGTCCCAAAGGTGACATATTGAGCTTCCGGCTCAGCAACACTTCCTTTGATTTTCTTCTCCCAAGACTCTGACTGACTGACAGCGCCCGGTCCCTCATGTAGCGGCGTCGGCGCAGCAGCGCGCGATGCATTATGTAACGTCACAGAAATACACACCAATTTAATTCTCCGCTAAAGTTAGAGGAAAAACTAAACTGGAGGATAGGTCTGGAACATCCCATAATGCTACACTACGCGCGTTGCATTATGGAACGTCACAGACCTACGCACCAATGGAACTTGCCCCTTTAATTGAGCGGAAAAATTGAATTTTTGTGTAAGTCTGTGACGCCCCATAATGCAAGACCGCGCGCGTTGTATTATGCGGCTCCCAGCGTACCCTCTTAGCCCTCTTTGACTTACCCTAAAACAAAACCAAAAAGAAGATCAATATATATATATATATATATATATATATATATATATATATATATATATATATACTTCTGTCATAAATTCTTTACCACGGTATATCGCGACAAGGAAATGAGGTGCTGCGTTTTAATTTCGCATTGCTGAGAAGTGTAAACGTCAGCATTTTTTTAAGGTGAAGGCCTTACTTCTCCCTTTACGCGACAAAAAGCCGTCGGCGTTGTCCCCGAGAGATGGTCATAAAACTACGTCATCGAGCACGCGCCTTAGAAATAAAGCATAACGAAAAGCACAGCTCGCAGATGCTTCGTCATGGCAGCCGGTGTGGGCGCTCAAGGTTAAAGCGGACGAGCTTCAGAAATAAAAACAAAAACAAAGAAAAGCTGAGCAACGCTGAGCAACGCTGAAGCTTCGGCAAGGAAGCCGTCGTGAGGCCGGTGGGGTTCGCCGCGCCTGCGCAGTGGGGCAGCGTGATGTCACCGCCGTAGCGCCCTGTGAAAAAGGAAGACTTCGGCGCGCTGCTCGTAAGGATACGCTGCCCGTGTTGGAATGCTTTCGCCTTCCTACACGTAAGCAGTCTTAAGTGTCTTCGGCGTGTTTTCTTTTTTCTTTTCTTTGGTGTTAAGCGTGGGTGCCCAAAGAAGCAAAAGTCATTGACCGCGCTCACAAATACAGCGCCACGTCACGTGGCCTATAGGGTTCTGTCCAACATTTTATTCGTGCTGAAATGCCTCAAAATTGTGTAAAACACTAATACACGCGCTTGAGCGAGTGACCCAAATAAAAACACCAAAATCTTTTTCTTTTCTTTTTTACGTCGTATTATTTTGTTTTCTTCGCCCCTTCATATTTGTTATGAATATTTTGAGCCGATTGTTGTTACTTTTCTATCGAGGCGCTCGGGTTTCAATTCTGACTTAAGCGTTCGAAATATGACGGTTGTTTATTACAGGAAATGTTCTGTGTAACTGAGATTTCTGTAAGACTGCAAAAGATACCGAGTAACAGAAAGTAATCGCGATTATTTCGCTGGGGCATGCCAGATGCCAGCCTCAACTTTGATAGCTGAAAAAAGTGGCGCCCATGAGAGACGCAGGTACTATCGGGGAAAAATGAAATGCGAACAGAGGAGCGCGTGGCTCGCGGCACAGGCTGCGCCGCCTGGAAGTGAGCCTAGGAGCGAGGGTGCGTGGCCTACTCCGACATGTTCACGCCCCTCCCTCTGCGCTCCCCAAACTTCAGCAGTGCGCCTCTTAGTGCGCTGAAAGCTATCACCGCTATCTTTGCTGGCTCAGCGCGTGCGGTGCAAAGAAGCTCGCCGCACTCGCCGAGCAGGCAGAGATAGCGGTGACAGCTTTCAGCGCACTGAGAGGCGCATTGCCGAAGCTGCGGGAGCGCCAATAGAGGGGCGTGAACACATCGAAGTAGGCCACGCACCCTCGCCCCTAGGTTCATTTCCAGGCGGCGCAGCCTGTACCGCGAGCCACGCGCTCCTCTGTTCGCATTTCATTTTTCCCCGATAGTACAGTCGAGGACAAAACGTTTCCGGACCACGGAAGCGGTGTCCGGTGCAGAGCCGTGAATTGGGAGAGTTTGGCCAATAGGCGGTGCAAAGGCCGCCGCCAGCGCCGAATATTCCCCCACGCTTAGAGCGTAAACTAAATTTGTGACACAGCGTCGACCAATCAGGAGACCGCGACGTCACAATATTGCAAACGCCATTTAAAGCGTGAAACAGAAGCGTTCAATCTCGGCCTCTCTACTCCATCTCACAAATGTCTGCAGTGAAGACAAAGGTACAGGAGCGTGAGCCTAGCTCAGCAAAACGCTTTTGTTTTACGAGAACTCGCGCATAGGAGGCACTTTCCAAAGCCACGCGCTCGTGCCCCTTCCCTGCCTTTGTCTGCACTGCTGACGTTTTTGCCGGCTTGCTAGTTGCTAGAACAGCGTCCTGAAACTGGCTGAAAGAAAACAGTGCAAAGGGTGAAGCACGCGAGCATCTTGAGACGCAGAGTCCCGCTCGGCTCGTGCGCTGGCTTCGGCAGCTCTTGCTTTCCCCGTCTCAGCTGAGACGCCGTTTATAGCAAGTCGGCCCTGGTTTGGAGCGCACGTTCGTTCATCCTACACTTCAATATTGGCGTGACTAAAACCTCACATGCACAAAGTATTTTGTCACCGAGAGATAAACCTTTTCACTCTAGCGACGCTAAAACCATAGAGTTATTATAATGTACGCTAGAGGTTCAAGTGGCGCTAGTGTGCTGCTGCAAATTGAAGCAGACAGCAACCAGTCCGAAATTGACTTACGGTAATGCATTTCTATGGGAAAAAGCGAGTGCACTTTCTCTCAGCGCTCGATTATAAGAGCAAATATCACGAATAGTTCGTGCGTATTAGGCACATTGCAACATTTCTCAGTCAGGCGAACGAAATAATTGGTCAGTTACGGCGTTTTTATTTTAAATTCGTAGTATGAGAAGCGGTGCTAAAACGACTTCGTACATGTATTTATGTGCACTGTCGGACACTGTTAGCGCGAACACGGCGTCGGCGCTTTCCAGCATGGAGGATATACGTGCCAAACGAACGAAAGACATCTGGAAAACTAAGAGATACGGCGAGAATTACGCAGTAACACTGGATAAGTGACTCCTTGTGCATGCAGACGATCAAAATAAACTGAAAGCCACGTAATATAGTCCAATTTCCAATAAATAAGTACTGCTTTATTTTTTCGGCTCATCAATCTGTGCGAAGATGCTAGTTCTGGGTTCAAATCATCACCCGGAGGCTCTAAATCTTTGCAAATAGAGAGAAGCCAGAAAACGGGTGCCCGATAAAAACTGCCAGACATAGGAAATAATAAAAATACACACCTTGTGTAGCCCATATACTTTATTTTTTTACATTCGAATGTGTTTTTTTTTTAACCTATCGTAAAGATGCGCATGACGGAGTCATTTTCATATAATGACAGGACGGGCATATTAACAATATATAAGCGCCACCGGAATGTTAACTAACCATGAACACACTCTACATTCCTTTCGATCGTTACTTTGCATAGAATCGTCGCTCGTTTTCACATGCCTTCCTTGAAACAGAGGTTTGGGCCTGAAATACAGCGAAGTTTGACATCGTTCAGTGGAAAAAAAAATGCTGTAACTAAAGCAATTACACTTTCACAATATTAATAAAGGTACATACTACACGGTACAACCGAAATCACAAAAGTTATTCATGTTATCTTCCGGCGAAGAGACAAAATGTGTGCGCGTTTTCCCATAGGAATGCACAGGAGCACCGCAAAAGTAGACTGGTTGCTGTCTGCTTCAATTTGCCTCCCGGAAGTCGCATAGACACTAGCGCCAGTTGAACCTCTAGCGTACATTATAATAGCTCTATGGCTAAAACGACTTAAATTAGCCGTGTCACACATTTAGAGCACACGACCACCGCTAGGAGCTGTTTCGCGGCCTGTGGTTGGCCCCGAGATGCTCGCCTATTCAAACCAATGTATGGCCCAACTCTCTCAATAAACGGCTCTGGTCCGGTATGCCTTGCTGCGCGCTCTGACGGTGCGGCGCCTGCTGTCGTGACCGGCGCTTGGCGTCTGCGCGTCGTTCCTTACTCGCAGCGATGTAAATTCTATCATTTCTGGCAGCCGTCCTTGCCGCGTGGCGGCACTTCGGAAGCACCCGCTCAAAGCCGCCAAATTGCGGCAGAGATCCGTTCTAAGAAGGCGCGCTGGCCGGCTGACCTGGCTGGCCGCGCCTGTCAATCAGTGATAGAGAAGGATTCGCCTACGTGGCAAGCTAACGCGGCGCCGCGTGCCGCTTTTGCGGCCACTATATTTGCCAGACTCCGACCCCTAATCTGTACTTTCCTTACTCACATGAAAACATAGTATAGGGAGCATATGCTGCCGCTATCTGACTTCTGCAAGTGAACTGTCGAATGACCGGTAAAAATACCGTTCACATGCAATGACTTGCTGCATGCGTCACTGCAGGCACTCACACAGGAACGCCGGTAGCTCAGGTCGTGCACGGAGAGGCTCCCACTCTTCTGCTACGCTGCTATCACACTGAAGTTTGAATCGTAACCGCGAAGCGGGTTCACTCGTTTTCGTCATCAAATGCGCGTGAACCGCCTCACGGTTGCCTTCAACCACCAATGTGAATTAGGTATTATTGCCATCCCGGGAGTACCGGACGTGCTACGGGCCTTTGGTGCTCAAGAATGGCTCTCAACAACCAAAACACCACTTTGTCTTTCATGAGTATAATTTCCAACTCTAGCTCTTTCACGAAACTCAAAGGAAACGATTATTTCGCGCCCGAAAGCCTAAGCGACTCGGCTCTTGTCATTTTTAATCATTCCGCAATATGATCGGCGCCAGGTGAATTTCAATGAGCATGCGTGTTCTATTTTTGAGCGCATTTCATGTTAACATTCTCGTTGAAACCGTTGCGCGGTAATCGGTCATCATGTCCCTCGTTATCGAGCAAAGTAAATAACCTCGAGGTGTATGCTTGCGAAATCGGCGAATCCG